TGCAGGAATTTATGTTGGTTTGTGGGTTTGTTGTATAGACTGGTAGAAAGTGTATATTTGTTTAATTTTATCATGACGTCTAAGAAAGGGATGGATGTGTATGAGTGCTCCATGGTAAATTTAATTGTATCGTGGAAGTTGTTGCAGAAAGTGAAAAATATTTTTAATTTTTCTGATCCATGAGTCCATAGTAAGAAAATGTCATCAATATATCTAAAGTAATGTGGTGGTTTATATTCTGAATTGTCTAGTATCTTCCTTTCTAGAATGTGCATAAAGATATTAGCATAACTAGGTGCCATTTCCGTGCCCATTGCTGGCACACTAATCTGTAAATAGTTTTTGTTGTTGAATTTAAAATTATTATGTGTTAAGATGAAATTTATTAATTGGCATATATCTGTAATTTGGTACTTAGGTAATTCTTTGTTCCTAAGGAACTCATAGCAAGCTGATACTCCTTCAACATGTGGAATGTTCGTGTAAAGGGACGAAACATCCATCGTTACTAGGATTGTATCATGGTGGACTAAGTTAATGTTTTGTAATTTGTTGAGAAAGTCAGTAGTGTCTCTAATATAACTAGGTATTTCGGGCAATAAAGGTTTTAGGATATTGTCTATGTACCCAGATATAAGTTCTGTGAGGGTACCAATGCCTGATATTATGGGTCTACCAGGTGGCATGATTTTAAGGGGTTTTGAAATTTCATAGATGTTTTCTTCATTATTTGATTATTTGATTTGATGTGGGTTGGATGAAAAAGTGTTAGGGTGTTTTTCTGAAAGGATTTTGGGGAGTTTATGTAGTTTTGGGATAGTGTAGAATGTTGCTGTTTTAGGGTTCTCAGGAATAAGAGATTTTATGGTATTTTTTATGTTGTGGTTCAGGTTCTGAGTGAGAAGTGATAATTCTGTTTTGAATGTGCTAGTTGGGTCTAGAGGTAAGGGTTACATAGAATCTGTTATTTTGAAGTTGTGATTCTGCTTCTTTAATGTAGTGGTTAGTGTCTAAGATGGTTATAGCTCCGCCCTTGTCGGCTGGTACGATAATTATGTCTCGGTTGTTTTTAAGAGTATAGATGACTTCGTGTTCTATTTTGGATAAGTTGTATTTTTTTATCTGGTATCCTTTGTTTTTTAAGAAGTTATCCATGTGTTGTCTGGCTTTGTGGATATATTGATCCAAGTGTTGGTTACGTCCGCTTGGTGGGGTCCATATATTGTTATTCTTCGTCGGAGGAAGTTTGGAGCATGATTGGTTAACGCTGTTGTCTGTATTAGAAGTAGATTTGTTGTCTGAGAAATATACTTTTAGTCTCAGTCTACGAAGGTATTTTTCCATATCGTAGCAAAGGTTTAGAAGGTTTTGTGAGGGGCAGAATGATAATCCTTTATTTAATAAAGAGGTTTCTCCTTGGGTGAGAGGTTAGCAATGTGGTTGTCAGCAGAGGTAGTATTGGTGTAGTGAACATAATGAGATCTTCGTGGGATCTGTTGTATTAAATAGTTATTCAGGTAAGTTATGTGTTGTAAAATGGGGTCCTCAGCAATTAGTTTATTAAGTTTTTGGTTTTTCAAAAATATACACTGTGTCAGTTTTTTTTTTGTTTTTTTTTTTGGTACAGGAAATTGAGTGTTTTTTTTTTTACTTGAAAGTATTGAAACGGAGAAAGTGTTAGGTAGAGAGAATAACTGGTTTTTTTAGATAAGTTCATGTAAAAATATTTTTTAATGTAAGCAGTGTTGTGCGCAAGATTTCTTAATTGCGTGGAGATTCTGTTGTATATATGTTGGGCTTTTTGTTTTGGCAATGTAATAAAACTATGTTGGAAATTGTATTTAAATCGGAATATATAAAAGTATTTAGAAGATTTGATTGTTCTTTATATGATTGGGTAAGAAAAAATTCTTACCCAATCATATACGGAACACTCAAAACTCCTAAAAGTTTTCCTCCTCGTACCGCTGCCTATAACTGAATGAGAGAAACCCGCAAGCTGTGTCGTTTCGAGAATCTTATGACCCAGTCTTCTAGTGATAGAAAATCAATTCACTGAAATCTTTCTTTTTGCCCATAATTGCAGCATTCAACACATCAAAAGTAAGTACCCTATACCAGTTTATCTGCGTTTTATATATTTAATTCTAATATCTCTATTTGTTTCAAGACAGTCGTTATCATTCCTGCCAGATTTATCTTCTCAGTCACTACACAGCTATAAATTCAATGACTATGAACAACATAATCTCCACGATGAATGCCTATAAGCAAAGCATTGGTTAACTCTAAGGTGGCATCTTCAGTCAACCAATCTTGGTAATTTTTGGAGACAGAAATGTTAATCACGATATCTTCAGACACTTTGAATCGGTAGTTTTTACCGTCTCATTTTACATATATCATACCTTCCGCCATTTCTGCAATAGGCAAGAGAACTTTAGCAGAATACACTTCAGTAGTTTATATATGGGTTAATTACTAAAACTTCTATCTGTAAATTTTTATTATCTCCAAACATTCTTACATTCTAAAAACATTTTCTGGTTTTAAATAACGTGTAAAAGGTTGATAAGCCGTAAAAACAAAACAATCAGTTTACACTATATTCTTCACGCTTTCTATTAGGCCACAAATAAATACCATTTTTCTTCATAAAAATTAAGAACAATTACATTTTATTCAGTTATATATCCACCATTATTTGCAATGATTTGATGCCAATTATCAGGCAGAAACTCCATTAATGCAGTCAGCGAAAAAGAACCAATTGCAATTCAAATTTATGAAAGGTTCACCATAAATGCGAATCAATCGTTCTTGTTTTACCAAGTAGATCTTCAGGATTTTTCTTTCTTTTTAGCAAATTGGTAATCCAGTGGATCACTTTCCATCAGGTATGTTTGAAAGACAAAAACAATGAGGAGGAATAGTAAAAGGTGGTAAAATGATAATGAAAGAAAAAGAACATACGGCAATGTCGAGTGAAGGCTTGTGGTTTGACGACATTGTGACATGTATCACATACTACGAGGTAAAGTTCATCCTTTGTTGGACATAATCCATATAAAGGCATATCTGAAAGAAAATAGAAAAACAAATGATTTAACAGAATACTTATGGATAAAACAATCAGAAAAATAGAAAAATGCATTAAAATAACTTTTTGGAATAATGGTTAATGATAATGTTTTTCTACTTAAAATGCATGTCCAACATTCATTACTCATAATGACAACACCTTTTTTTTCTGGTTGCAGTGCCTGGTGATGTCAATAGCATTCTGGATAATCAAGGGATTATCTACAGCTGTTGAAATCGATCATGATTTTTGCTTTACAGACATTAAGTTGAGTCATAATAATTTCTGCTTTTGTTTATCAAATGTATTCTTCAAAAAAATAGAATGACATTTTATTTGATTCTATATTCACCATTATTTGCAATGATTCGCCACCACTCATCAAACAACTCTTCGATACCTTTTGAGCTAAATTCGGCAGGTTTTGATGCGATAAGTTTTTCGACGAACGCTTGAATCTGGTTTTATTAAAGGAAGTTTCCTCCATCAAAACGATTTGCAGCGATCAAAGCTAATAATAGGGAAATATGGCGGGTACAATAGAGCAAACCAACCCAGTTACATTTTTTTCTTCTGGGTTGTCCTTTTCGTATGCGCCCTTATCGCGAAGAACAACCTTTTTTCGATTGATGGGCACAGAGCGCTTTTCGAATGAATTTTATGACCACGTTGCAGCTTGCACGTTGCATTCATTTAGAGGTCTTAAGCCGCAATGAAACAATGCATTTTTATATATCTAACGATATATAAAAATACATTGTTTCATTGCGGCTTAAGACCTCTAAATCAATACCCCGATGATTCTAGCGCATGCGCAACATTACCTTTCTTGGGGTTGGTTGTGGGAATTTATCCTACTCAATCTACTGCCTTTTGTGTTGAACATTGTCGAATGTGGCACATTTTTCATCGAATGTTATATATTTAACGAACAGTTAAGATAAAAGATTCGTCATTACAATTAATTCCTGAAAGCGGAAATTACTTATGATTCAATCTAATCAATTCTTCAAAGCGTTGCCTTTTCTTTAAACTTCCTTTTAAAAAAGTGGTTTGACTTTGGAGCTAGAAGTGCTTGTTGATTTCTTTCCCCGGCCTAAATTCGTCGTCTATTCTTTCCAGATAAGTTGAATTCAATTTCACTATCATCTTAATGAATAAACCTAGTCTCTCGCTTTTATTTGCTGTCCATTCTTTGATTAAATCTTACACAATTTCCCATAATCAAGGGAGCATCTACAACTGTTGCAATCTATCACGAGTTTTGTTTTACATACATTAGGTTTAGTCATAATAATTTCTCTTCTTGTTTATTCAAGTCTTCAAAAAATAAAATAGAATCACATTTTATTCAATTCTATATTCACCAATATTTGCAATTATTTATTGCCACTTGTCAGACAGCTCTTTGATACCTTTTGAGCAAAATTCCGCAGGTTTTGACGTAAAAGGTTTTTCGACGAACTCTTGAACCTGGTTTCATTAAAGAAATTTTCCTCCATCAAAACGATTTGCATCGATCGGAAAAGCTAATAATCGGGGAATCTCGTGAATTATTATTTGCGTAGAGTTAAATTCTGCCATTCTTGTCTTCTTTCTTTAGTCTTGGTCAAACAAGATTGTTTATTCTGTTTGAGATGAGATACTTCGAAAGATGAATAGACAGGCTTATAATATTTGTTGCTTTCTCATGATATTCGTTTGTTATTTCCAGAGTTCTCATGATAGCAAATTTATCAAGAAAGCCTACATGAGATTTGAAATGTTAAAAAACAAGAATATAGAATATCCTTTGAAGAAACATTAGCGAGAGATGCGCACAAAAATGTAATTATGAGAAATGACGAATACAAACAACAGAAAAGTCTTAGATAAATGGGGGAAAATGGCCTGATGTATGATGACTTCACTTACGACAATGCCATTTTTTTCTTGCCTGCTTTGTTTTCTTTTAAAGGCCTCCGCCATGGATTCCACGCTATCGATTCTCTCTCTCTCTCTCTCTCTCTCTCTCTCTCTCTCTCTCTCTCTCTCTCTCTGCCTATATTCATACTTATCTATATCAGTATGTTAATATATATCTATCTCAGTCTGTTTATGCCTATCTATTAATCTATCTATCTCAGTATGTTCATATCTATCTATCTATCTATCTATCTATCTATCTATCTATCTATCTATCTATCTATCTCAGTATGTTCATATCTATCTATCTATCTATCTATCTATCTGTCTGTCTATCTATCTATCTGTCTATCTATATCAGTCTGTTCGTGTCTATCTATCTATCTATCTATCTATATCTATCTATTCGTGTCTATCTATCTATCTATCTCAATATGTTCATACCTATTTATCTATCCGTCTATATCAGTATGTTTGTATCTATCGATCGATCTATCTCAGTCTGTTCGTATCTATCTAAATATCTATCTCATAAGTTTATTTATCCACATATATATATATACATATACACACATATATGTATATATATGCATCTCAGACTGTTCTTATATATCTACCTATCAGCGAGCAAGCTGTTTATCTGAGTCTATTCATGCCAACATATTTCAATCCGTTTTTATATCTATCTATGTTCATAACTATTTATCTATCTTTCAGTATGTTCATATCTATTTATCATATATATATATATATATATATGTGTGTGTGTGTGTGTGTGTGTGTGTGTGTGTGTGTGTGTGTGTGTTAAGATAAAGAACAAATACGAAATGTCTATCAATCTAACATGTTTCACTTTTATTAAAAAATAATAAAATCGTCTGAGATGATTTTATTTTTATGGAGAAATAAAAGAGAAAAATTCTAGGAATATTTTTATTTTGTGTTAGATTTTCATTGGACAATCATGTTTCACGTGCATCCGACTCTTTTAAACCAATGTTAGTATAATCTGTATCGTTCTTTGTGTGTTTATATGTATCTGTGAGTATAGAAGACATTATCCATTCTTAAAGAATCTAAAGAATCTTTACTGAAAACAAACGATTCCCAAATCAACGTGCGAAAAACCAACAGATGTAATGTTTAGTAGACATACACATACAAAATTATGAATATACTGATTCCCATATCCAGAAATTTTACATACTTACATAGATATTGTACTATTTACGGTTTTTCAGTTAGACTTGGAATCCGTAAATTTCTTTAAAAATCCGGATAAACGCGTCATCTCGGAATTCGGAATGCCACAAATTATTCTAACGCTGGTTTAAAAGAGGCGAATGCACGTAATACATAATTGACCAATGAAAATCAAACAATGCAAAAGTAGAAATATCAGAATGAATCATTATTAAAAAGGTGAAACAAATTAGATTTATAAACGTTTTCTATTTGTTCATTAACTTATTATTCTATCAGACTCCAGGGAATATCGAGGTGATGTAATAGTTAGCAAGCTTGTTCTCGCTAAATCAATTACTACTGAAAAACTTCTTAAGGTTTCACCAATATATTCTTTCTGGCAATTTACTCTATCAGCTGCAAGAAATGCCAGAAATAATATATTGGTAAAACCTCAAGACTAAACAAAATACTATATGAACACAAAAGAGACATTAAAAAAACAACGCACAAGACGCATTGGTATTTCACCCCATTGAAACTGACCACAGATTTGACATAAAAAAATCCACTCTAATTAAAAGAGAAAATAATTCACTAAGATGAAAATATCTAGAAAGTGCTTTAATCACTAGTTCAGTTACTGTAGATTTACGGTTCTTCCAATATTTCACCATTCTTGAAAGATTTTCTGTTATCACAATGTGGGATAGTTAAAAACAAAAATGATGGAAAGAAAAAGAATATAGATGAATTTGACTAGATGGCAAAAAAAAAAAGACTTTCAAAAGTTTTGAAACTACCAGCGTCTCTCGTTCATGCGCATGTGTAGTCCTAACAACGTCAACAAACCTAGTACGATGAAGTCTTAACGGAGGAAAACTTTTCCATTTTGTTTAACAATATATATATATATATATATATATATATATATATATATTGTGATATGGTCTTCAATGTTAACCATTGAATAAGACATATAATCAATTTAATAAGAGACCCGTTGTCTTTGTAAAGTTTCATCATTTCGTTCTTTTTTTTTTTTTGTTTACTACCTATCTGGACCGAATTGTGTTTCGGCTAAGAGAGTTCAGAAAGGGAATTTCGGATCGCTTGACAACAAACAGAATGACCTCCTAAGAAATGTTAGGAAATGTATTTGAGATTACTTGACAACAAACAGAATTACCTTCTGAAAAAGGGAGTATGAATAGGTCAACTCTGCTCACGTGACATACATCAAGTGGGATTTTGGTAATGTAATTTTAGTTTTCTGATGACCTCCAAAGACAACACTTTGTGAAAAAAATAGACTATCATCATGCGATCGTAAGGTATAAGAAATACACCCACAAACCTATTCTATTTCTTCTTGTATAGGGAATAAGGAAATTTCGTCCCGAATATTGTATCCGAATAAATACAAAGAAAACATCTTAATTTTATCTCGGGTGCAATTCAATCAACCATGGAGAAACGGAACACGGAGATATTATTCCGGAATCACATTGTGGAAGAAAGAACAAGTTTTGTGAGCATTCTACAGCAACTTTGTCTGAAACACAAACGTTTGAACTGACAACCAATATCAGTTAAGTGTTAATTATACGTCTGTCACTCCATACTTTTCCCATATTTTTTTTATTTTGTTGTTTCCTATATAAAATTTATTTACAAATCTAAAAGCTGTGTTTGTTGGTCGTCGGGACCTGTTCATGTGTTCCTATTTGAGCGAACCCGCCATTTTTTTTTCTTTTTCTTTTTCTTTTTTAACCTTGGATTCATATATTTATATGTTTGCGAATCCGTAACAATATATATATATATATATATATATATATAAGACACAAGAAAATTAGGAAAAAAGAAATAACAACGACATCCTAGTTATGTGCATACGTACAGGCGTACACACACGCACACATACTCACGCACACACGCACACACACACAAAAACGCACACACAAAGAAGAAAAATCAACCTAATAGCAATAAAAACGAATAAATTATTTTTTAACTTAATATACACATAACCAAAACGAAGAAATTGACAAACATTTGCAGATAACTCCTGATGACTAAACAAAACAATAAGCTAAAACCTGCAGGACGAGTTTACTCCATTGTCTGTAATATTTGTCACAAAAGATACATGGAAGAAACCTCAAGGAATTTAAATAAAAAGTTATATGAACACAAAAGGTACATTTTACAAAATAATACATCAAATGCATTAGTTGTCCCCCGTATCGAGACTGGGCATAACATTGACATGAAAAATGCTACTATGATCAAAGGAGAAAATAATTCACTATGATGTCAATGTCTAGAGAGTGCCTTAATCGTAAGGCTTATCCAGTAAATTTGTGCCCTGGCTCTTACATTTCACCATTACTGGCAGACCTTCTAATATCACAGTGTGGAATATCTACTTACAAATCCGATAGAAAGAAAAAGAAAAAGACCCTAAATGAATTGGGGTGAAAAAAAAAATCAAAAATTTTATGCACCCCTCTGTCGTGCGCATGTGCAGTCCAACCAGCATAAATCCGATTAAGTCTTGAATGACGAAACGCGCTACAAGTAAACTTTTTCCACTTTGTATTAAAATTTCCCCAATACGGTTCTTGATATATACAAATATATATTATCTCATATATATATATATATATATATATATATATATATATATATGAGATAATATATATATATATGAGATATATATATATATATGAGATAATATATATTGTATATATACAAATATATATTATCTCATATATATATATATATATATATATATGAGATAATATATATATATATGAGATAATATATATATATATATACAAATATATATTATCTCATATATATATATATATATATATATATATATATATATATGAGATAATGTATATTTGTATATATCCGCCTGACATCAAATTATTTATTCGACACTAGAAGAAACTCACCAAAAAGCTTAACAGACATTCGCTATCCATTTAGTTTTTATATACATGCACACCCCCACATCACACACACACACACATATATATATATATATATATATATATGCACCCACAGTGGTGGTGTAATGATTAATAAGCTACCCTTTCAGATTATTTTTACTGGATAGGGACTTCGTTTCTTACGGTTACCTTATGCCAAAACTAAGCTAATTTTGCTAGATATCTATACTATATATATATATATATATATATATATATATATATATATATATGCGTGTGGAGGGGTAGTGTGTATGTGCGTGTGTGTGTGATCTGAAATTCTTTGGTGTGATAGACATAGTCAAAAGAAAAGAGATCGATAGATCAATACTTAGAGAAAAAGAGATTTTTTTTTCTTTTTCTTCTTCTCAATATCGATTTACTTTGGTCTTTATATTCCTCTCTTTGCGTACCTTCATCCCTATCAGGCTTTTCTTTGAAGATCTTAAAGTCATCTTGCCTGTCTTACTTCTTTCTCTCTCTCTCTCTCTCTCTCGCTCTCACTTTCGCTCTTTCTCTCTCTCTTACACAGGCACACACGCACGCACACACACACTCTCTCTCTCTCTTTTTTCTCTCCCTATAGCATTTTTAATTTTCCTCTCCTTACTTTTTCTTTCTTGCTCTTCTTTTCAGTCTTTCTTAATTTAACTCTCTTTATATAACTTTGACTTTTTCAACTTTCCATCTCTGATTCCTTTTCTCTTTTTTTTAAGGAGCCTTGGCCTCGACATGGGGTAGTGATTTGCTACAACACCCTGTTTGACCTAATACGACTAAGCAATGAGTTCACCCCTCACTGGTGACGCTTACAAAACAAGAGCTGACATATCATATAAAGCAGAGCTTCTCAACCTTTTTCAGCCCATAGACCATTTTTTTCTTCAAAAAATTCAAATGGAACACTTCTACTTTATTTTAGATTCATTTTAGTGAAATGGCTGCAATTCTTTATGGCTACGAATTTTCTGTGGACCTCTAGAAATACTATGTGGACCACCGGCGGTCCACCTGGACCACGTTGAGAATTACTGAAAAGTAAAATCAAACCAAATTAACCTCTCTCTTTCTGGCAATTTATTCCTTCCTTTCTCTCTCTCTCTCTCTCTCTATTTTATTTTTTCTTTTCATTTTTTTCGTTTTGTTTTTTTACTTCATTCCCTCTCTTGTACTTACTTTCTTTCTCTCCTTTTCTTTCTCTTATTATTCTCCTCCTCTCTATTTTCTTCCTTTCTTTCATTTTCCCTCTTTCTTAAATTTTTACAGTCTTTCTCTACCTTTTCCTCTTTCTTTCTCGCTTTGTTTGCTCTTACTTTTTACTTCTTTCCACTCTCTATCACTATTTCGTTATATTTACTATATATCTTTCTTCCTCTCTTTCGTACTTTTTTCTCTCTTCGCATATCATTCCTCTCTCTTTTGTATATTATTTTCTTATTCTTGCTTCTACTCTCCCCCCTTCTCTCTCTCTCTCTCTCTCTCTCTCTCTCTCTCTCTCTCTCTCTCTCTCTCTTTCATTCTCAGTGTCTCTTTTGGGGAGAAGAAACATCTTTCCATGTCCATAATCTCTCATAGTGTATATACTATCATTCTCACTCACCTCGACGCCACACGCCTCCCCTTTGCAATTTGTTTGTCGCCACCGCCACTGTCGCCTTCTCGAGGACCTCTTAACAACTGAACATCCACGCACCGACCCCACCCAAATCAGCTACGGTCGGCCCCACATCAAAAGGAAACAGCCTGGCTTCATTATTTTTTTCTCTGCGACCACTGCCTTCTTCAGTTTTCACTAATTTCTCTCTGATTTGTCCCAGTTGATGCCATTACTAGAGACAACGACGAGTGACGACAGCGGTTGTGGTGGTGGTGGGGGGGGGTCAAAGAAATAAGCGGGTTGCGGGGAAAATGATGACACTTGGAATTGTGGCAATTATGATGATGCCGATTATTCATCTCCTGTTCCAAGGGGGCGGACAGCTTGTTATCTAAAAGTTATGAATTTGAATCTAACATCAATAGAATGGTATTCGAGTCCAATTTAAGGCTACAGTTACACATGCAAGGTAAGAAGATTGTACCCAGTAGTAAAACAGTACTCCTTAAATTCACTAGAGCCACAGAACTATTTAGTACACCTTGATTGCTTGTAAAATCCGACACCTCAAAAAGATAGATATGAAAAATTGAGATAAATGAAAATGGAATTCATTAGAGAAAAACAAATTGAGAAAGAAAGAAAGAAAGAAAGAAAGAAAGAAAGAAAGAAAGAAAGAAAAGTTTTCGGTCGGTCCCAAAATCGAATCGATTTCGACTTAATTTGTCTATATTCGCTTGGTAGTAATGTCCTCTGAAAGCGAAGGTCTAGTTTTGATAAGGAAATTGGATGAAGACAATATGACGTTAGCTAATATAATTATGTCTTTCCTGAAGGATACAACACTTGAGTAAGTTTGGAGAATAGATCGGATGAACCGTTCTGCTAAAAATTCAACACGAGAAATAAGATCAATCAGCCAAATCATAGAAAATAATGGACCTCTTTGTCTAATATTTTAGAGTCCAATTCACTCTACGGGCGAGACAAGATGGCTAAACAACACGCTAGAGTTAGCGCCCACCTTTCTTCTCTCTGTCCAATATACATTACCGATGCAATGTTAATTAGCCATTTCCTTATAAGGAACATTTGAAAATCATTGACTGAGCAAATAATTTTTCTAAAAGATAGGTTTATTAGCTCCAATTTCATGCATTTCATGTAAGAATTTAAATGCTAAGACTTTCGCTGTGTAATTTCATTGCATCATATATATAATGGACTCTCCCGTCGGTTTCGACGTATGAGGATCTGACAGCTTAATTGATTCAGTTTTGGAAGTTTGTGCGATAATCCTATATATATATATATATATATATATATATATATGCAATCACAGATAGAGTTAAAAATATTAAATCCAGAACTACATCGGATGCGGGGATTTATGGGATAAAACGCCTACTAATTGTGCAGGAAAAGTTAGATTGGCGAATCATAGAGGAATTTAAGAGCCAGCATCTAAGAACATCTTTAAACTCGCCCCAATCTCCTGACATCAACCACATAGAAAACTTATGTTGCTCAACTGCTTTCTCGAGAGCCTGTACTTTATAATGCTCCATAAGTTTTCTATAGAGTTAAAGTCAGGAGATTGGGGTGCCCATGTCATAACACTCAACTGCTTCTCATCAAAGTATTCCTTCATCAATTTTGATTTGTGACAGGGAGCATTATCCTGCATAAAAATGAGATTGGTGGGGTCGATTTGCACCCTTTCAGCAGAAGGGAGCAGACAAGACTCTAAAATTCTCTTGTACTGCTCGCTCCTGAGGGTCTTTTCAATAGGTTTTAAGAAACCAGTTCCATGAAAAGAAAAGCATCCCCAGAACATTATACTGAACGGATGCTTGACAGTACTTACTGCTAAATTCAAAGAGCTTTCAAAGCTTCTTCTTCGGATTTTAGATAGCTTATCCTTTGAATTTAGCTCAACTTTCGTTTCATCGGAGAAGAGAACATTTAGTAAAAAAATCAGGTGAGTCACTTTTATCGAACAGCACTGTATATATATATATTATGAAATGTTTGACGTCATTTGTTCATGGAAGATTGAAGTTTAAATACAGTAAATTTGACCTTGCTAACCGAACGCTCCTCTGTAGCCAAATCGGTTAAGGCACAACAAGCTAAATGACGGTTCCGTATAGGATACAGGTTCGATTCCTGTCGGAGGACGAATATTTTCTGTGAAAATTTCTCGGACATTCAGGCCGGTAGATGTTGCTTAATACTGTTTATTATAAACAGAGCATTTACTTAAATATTTGTGTCTATAAAAAGAATGTATAAACATAAAAATGTCTTAAAATAATTGTCGGACTTTGTCCATTTCATAATGTGTGACGTCATTTGTTTACATTTGATACGCCATGAGCAGATATGAATGTACGTGAGAGATTCATGGAAGATTGAAATTTAAATACATTAAATTCGACCTTGCTAACCGAACGCTCCTCTGTGGCCAAATCGGTAAAGGCACGTCAAGTTAAATGACGGTTCCGTATAGGACATTCAGGCCGGTAAATGTTGTTTATTACTGTTTATTATAAACAGAGCATTTACTTAAATATTTGTATCTATAAAAAGAATGTATAAACATAAAAATGTCTTAATATATATATATATATATATATATATATATATATATGATAACTGGCCACTCGTATTCGAGGATACACGTCTACTAGGACGGTTAGCCAATGCCTATTGCAGGCAACAGCCACACAGCCCAAATGTGGTTTTATACTGTAACTATTCTGAGCAGAGCTTAATTACAGTTTCTGGGGAAAGAGTGTGTTCTCTAGAGTGATCAACATTCTAAACAAGATCTTCACGCTCAAACCCTCCAGACCGATAATATTAGTAAGTCTCCTTCCTGACAAATCGACCATGGTGAGATTCGAACCCTGGTCAGAAAACAAACGTTCTGACCACTCGGCCACGCGCCCATATAGATAGATAGATACATGCTTACATACATAGAAAAGTTTTCGGTAGGTTCCAAAATAGAATCGATTTCAGCTTTATCTGTTTTTCACTTGGCAGTAATGCCCTCTGAAAGCGAAGGTCTCGTTTTGATAGGAAAATTGGATGAAATCAAAATTACGTTGTCTTTCCTTAAGTATTCAACACTTGAATAAGTTTGCAGAATAGATATACACAGCACACCCCACAAATTAGCAAAATCTATACAAAAAATATTAGTTAAATGTTAATATTAATTATTTATGTTTGGCTGAAATCTGTTTAATTTTTATTACATTTTCCCGTATGCCTCTTTCCAGTTCTGTAATCAGTTTCTTGGTGTTAAAATGAAATACATCAAGGAAGGTGCCATAGTTTTTGATAACTCAAGTACTTTCGAGTTTTTTCCAAGATGATCATCAGGAGTAAATTACAAAGACAAATTTAATGTAACTGCAATAAAATCTGCATTCCGTTGTTATGGTGATTTTAAAGACACGCTCGAACGCACACTGTAATTATTTAAAATTTTTCCTTTATGGAAATTTTTGCAAAACATGCGCTTTGATATAATGGACCTGAGCGGAAATTGATGTAGAATGATATTAAATGTTACATGCAATTTAATATGTTGTTTCTCTATTCGTAATAATTTTTGTCGAATACAAGTTCTATTGCACAACATCTAACACACATTCCTGTTCACCTTCAAAATACAGGAATATACTTGTTGACAACAATACAGGAAAATACATGTTGAAAACATCAATATGCTACACAAAGAAAATAACAAACAAAAACTTCAAAATCTCAAGATCCTCTATAGCAAAAGCAAGCAAACAACAAAATTTATTACGAATAGAGCAACATGTTAAAATGCATATAACATCTAATGTCATTTTACATTTTTAGCAATTTCCGGTCATCTCCCTTATATTGAAACGCTTGTTTCGCAAAACATTCCATAACGGATAAATTTTAAAATAATTACAGAGTGCGTTTGCGCGTGTTTTTTTTTTTTAAAAAAAACACCATCACAACAAGAAACTAATTAGAGAACTGAAAAGGATCAATCTAAAAATAAGTAGGCACAATGTGTCTATATTATTTAATGAAACATGTTTGAATGAAGATATGCTGCCTAAACACACACACACACACACACATATATATATATATATATATATATATATATATATATATATTTGGTTGGATTGATGTGAGTTTGTGACCCTGGGTTTCACGCTTTTGCGATCGTCAGACAAACTGATTAATTTTTTTTTAAATTTGGGTTTATGTAGATTGCGTGTATTATGGGAGTGGGAAGAATCGTCGTTGTGATGTCACTCATGCTAACGCAAATATAGATGCATATCCGTACACCCGTTGAGGTGCGCAGACACGCATACACACTTGCACGTCCGCCGGGACTCATACATATATAAACATATGTGGATAGTTTGGGATTTGACATATGTATGTATATGCGTGGTGTTGTGTCTATACATACGCATTTGTATGTTGAAATTCAAAGATCGGAAGTGTAGCGAAAATTTCTTGTGAATGTCTCGTGAATGTATACATGTCAGCAATCAGAGCATTTTTCTATTTATTCGCTGAATAATGTTTCCTCGCATGCACGTATATACGTGTAGTGGGGTCTGTGTAAAATTATGATAGGTAAAAATTACTATTATTTTTATTTTTAATTTTAAAAAAAGGGGGTTATTTGTTATTATTTTAATGCTGGTTATTTGCTGTTTTTTGATGACTGTGTATATGTAACTGGCAGAAATTTCGGTTTGTAATCCTTATTGGTTATTTTTTATGGTGGTATTAAATATGCTGGGGGAGGGGGTAGTTTACGTTAATAATTATGACGGGTTTATATGATAATAGTAGATGTGATGTGCTAGTAATGTTGTAAGGGGATTAGTGCCAATGATAATATAAGTAGCTAATAGTTATTGTAAATTGGTAGAAGTGATTAGTAATGGTGGTGGGAGAATGATAAAAACAATTAATGTAATTATTGTGATGGTAGCTTGAACTAAAAAGTGATTGTTGGTGTTTTATTTTTTTTATTATTCTCCCACCACCATTACTAATCACTTCTACCAATTTTTTTAGCCACTTATATATCATTATCACCAACCCCCACACATTACTATCACATCACATCTACTATTATCATATAAACCCGTCATAATTATTAACGTAAACTACCCCCTCCCCAGCACATATATATATATATATATATATATATACACACATTTCACACATATATATATATATATATATATATATATATATATATATAATATTAGTGTTCAATATATATATATTTCCAAGAGCATATAATCTAGGTAGAGCTCTGTGTCAGAGACAGAGCAAGAATATAATATAAAAGGCTCGAACACTAAAACTTCATGGTTATAATTTATTTCATTGGGTTCGTAATAACGACGCAACTCCTCAGACCTACAAATTCCAAATTTCACTTCAAATATTTAAATTCATCCGAAAGAGGACTTTTGCATTTTTTTTCTTTCCAAATAGTGAGTCCAATTTACACATTATTGTAGGCATTTATCAGGTTTTGTAGATCTGACGAGTTGGATTGTTATGACAAACCCAATGAAAAAATTATAACCATAATAAGATGGAATTACATGGCGAAGGCTTTTTACAAAAGCATAAACACACACATACACACACGCCCGCAAGCACACACGTAATACAGAAGCGAGCAAAAATACATCCCACATGTACCTCCCAGAAATTTCTCCCACATAAT